CTAAAATTTAATGGTATTTCAATATATGCAGGTACTCTACAGAAGGTATGCAAATTAATAGTGCCAGACTATTTAAAAAAATATTAGCTGGGGCTTTAATACATAAGTCAGATCTATTATTATTGAATTATATCATAAGGGTATAAAAGGTTTAGATTATAAAATGATGCTGATGGTTCATCGTAAGATGAGGAACAGATTGATGGCAGCTTTTTAGCATAATCAGACAAATCAGCTGAAAAATCATACATTCTGACGGCACCACACTGCCTATGAAAAAAAGAATTTTATAATAAGCATGTACTATAGCACTGCTCTAGTATGAGATTAGATGTATAAGAGTAATTAGGGCATAATGCTGACAAATCATCTTTTTATCAGGAGAAAATGAGGCAGTTGCAGGGCTTCCTATGTTCTTATGTTGTGTATAAAGTTAGAGCTCATTCCAATCAAATTTAGATTTTTTATGAATTTTTAAAGTTACTCAAAATTAGGCCAAAGTCCCTTTGTGCACTAAAAAAACTTACCCCTTATTCAAAAATTCCTGCCTACATTATTACTGTACATTTAGAGTAAAAACTACAAAAGTTAATATTCTTTACTGACAAATACTAACCTTGAATGTTGTGGGCTCCCATTAGTATTGAGAGGTTGAACTGAAGGAATGTGTGCAACAATAAGATACTCATTATCAACCTCACAGAGCGAAACAGAGTGTCTATTAAAAATAAACTAATCACTAAAAAATAATAGAGTTATGTTATTTTTAGTTGTATTTTGTGTTCTATTTGGTTTATTTTTTGTGCCAATGGTTTCTGTGTCATACATGTACATGTACACATACAACATGTAGATTTAAATTGGAATTTCTTATACCTGTATCTCTAAAACATGTACCGTATACGTTCAAATTTTCAAGGGTTCAAAATTTCGTGTTTTCAATGAAATTTGCTCAAAAGTTAATATTCGTGTGAGCTAATTTTCGTGTTCTGGCCATAGTCCACATACAATAGAATGGCATTGGAGGTGGTTTAAATTTCGTGGATTTAAGGTGAGCACGAAAATAATGAAATTTAATACACCTCGAAAATTAAGACGCATACGGTACATATGTAAAACATGTGCGTGTACATGTACTCATTTATTATTACATGTACATGTAAATGTTACGCTAATGTACCTGTCATGTCCTCTCCAAAGTTCTTGTCCTATTCTTAAATCCCATACAGCAACAGTGCCATCACGACTATTATGATAAGATTAATATTATAATTTAATATTCAGAATATTGCTATAACTGTATAGGTACTACTAATGGTATAAAAATAAATTTATGACACCCGGAAATTTTTTTCAACAAAAAATACCGTATAATGCTTTAATTTGGC